AGAGTCACTAACAAAAATGGAGGAATGGGGGCCGGGGATTTAGCTCAGTGGTTCCAGCGCCTGCCTTGCAAGCGCAAGGTCCTGAGTTCGATCCCCAGTACCAAAAAACCCCCAAAACACCCCACCAAAAATGGAGAAATGAAACGAACTGAAGGGCTGGGTTTTGGGGTGAAGAAACACCACACTTGTTTTTCCCAGTTGTTTTTATGTTGGAAAATTAGTAACTTTACCATCACCTTCCTTGAAAAATGCAATTATTTGAGCATCGAGACTTTCCTATAGCTTTGGCAAGAATGAAGAAACCTCCTCCTCTGCTCTTCTCACTGGCACTGCCCACTACTCCTCATCCCAAGTTTTATTTTCAGCCCGGGTTAACAAAGTACTAACTGATCTTAATGAGTTAATGCATCAAGCTTTTTTTGCTTAAGAAATTGGAATTGGTCTGTTTTTTGATTTGTAAAAAGAGGAAGAGAAGTAGAGAAAACAGGGGCAGTATTTCATGCAGATTAAGAAAAAAAAGTCTCTGTGCTGTCATAGTAACATAAACAAGCCTTTTCTCTGTCTAATAAAAACCTAAATTTTCAATATCATCTAAGCTTTTCTAATTAGCACTCCTACCTCCTGGTAATATAAATAGGAAAACATTGAGAGCAGAGGCTGCTAGATTAATATATAAAACAAAAGGGAAAGAATCTGTGATGAGGTCAACCACAAGAGTGGAAAATGTTCATTTGCCAATAAAGTAGGAATCAATGCCTCTCATTTCTGCAGAACATCAGTAATAATCAACCTTTAAACAATGTATTATATTGACAAAACAATACATTTAGAAAGATGTATTCTTAAATATTTCAAGCATTTTCTGAAGAAATAATATATAATTAAAAATAATATAAACCAAAATACATGGCACATTATTGAAGGAAATAAAGTAAAATTAGGCTTCTAAATTTTAAACTGTAAAAATTTTCTAATGCCTCAAATAAAAACTAAAGACTTATCTATCACTTAATTAAAAATGTCTCTCTAGCAGTATTTGTAAGCAAAAGTACATGAAACTCTTTAAGGTCCCTTCAAAGAAACACCTCAAATAAGAACCATTTATATATAGAAATATTTACATGTTTTTTCTAACACCAAATTCTAACATAATACTGTAAAGATGGCAAAGTTTGAGCTAAAAGTATATGCCATGAACTTAAAAAACAAAGCAATACCAAATCTCATTGGTTCTTTCTGAAATCACATGTTGAATTTCTGGATGAATCTGTCCAGTAAAGGTCAGTAGTGAAAATATTTTAAAATATTCAAACATGTGGTGATCATTTGTCTAAAATTTGGTACTAACATTGGCATTGTGTTATAAAGTTTTACTTAAATAAGATGTATTTAGTTTATTTAAATGAATTTAATTTGATAGCTATTTAAACACCCTAAACTCAAACCCCATCTGTTCCCCAGGGTGAGATTTGTAAGGAATTCATTATTTCTCTGACTTGTTGCTGCAGCACGAGTATAAAGGCCATTCCTTCTACTCAAGTGTACTGATAAGCCTTGCCTCATCATGTCAATTTTTTTCTAATACTGCACAAAAATTTCTTTTGAATGAGATTTTATAGGGCCAGGGATTTTAGCTCAGTGGCACCGCACCTACCTTGTAAGCACAAGGTCCTGAGTTCGATTGCCGGTACAAACAAACAAAAAAGTAACACTCTGAATGAGATTTTTAACTTTGAAGAGAAGAAAATAAGCAGAAAAGAATTTTCAGATGAATAAAAGAAGTACAAACAAACGAGCTCTTCAGGGCAAGAATGTGCCTGGCAGTCTCGGTTTCATGTTATTTTACTGTTTTGGTGAGCGATCCAGCTATAATACTAGCTCTGCTTGCCTGTCAGCTCCAGGAAGACCAGAGCCACGTCATCTCTAATTTCCCGAGGAATTTAACACCGTGAGTAGTGTTTTGTATGCTAACATTCAAAATGCTGTGGAAAAACTGAGTCATTAGCTGGATTAACATATGGTCAAATATGCTCATTCAAGCAATACCGTAATTAATATTATTTGAATTATGTAACTAATTTATTTTTTAATCCACAATTCTTAGTTATGAAATTAGTATAAAAATTAAGCAGTAGAGAATTGCATAATACTCTAGAAACAAATTAATACTATAACCAAAACTATGCATGAGGATAGTTCTAAAACTGAGTAAAGAAGTACCGCTTTGGTATTTTAGTTAATGCCAATACTAAGAACTGCTTGTTATCTGTAAAAGTTTATTCCAGAAGAAAGTGGAAATCGGGAGATCAAATCTTGTTAAAACAATGAAAAGCATGTAAAATTTTAAAATGTTAAGGTATTAAGAGTCTGCTATATAAAACTGAATCTCTTATTATCAGCAGCAAAATGGGTTCCTACTGAGATATTTAAATGAAAGTGTATGTGGAGTACTATATAATCATTACACAAGAACTTTTCCCCTCAAGAAGGAAAATAATAGAATACATCAAAAAGTTTTGAGGCAATGCCCTGAGACACTAATGTGCATAAAAAGAGGGCGAAGATTGTGAATTTAAGAGGTACAAAACTGAAGTGCACAGCAGAGGTACAAAAGAGCCTTTTAAACTGGGGTTCGTTTTCTACCATGACCATTGTCCCCAAGAATCAGGAACATACAGTCTCCTGTTACAATGTATACTTCCTTATTGTATTTTATAATAAAAATTGTACCTAGTATGGCAGTGCTGACTCATGTGGGAAAGATTTAGTCTTGTTAGATCACACTTAGTTTTTTCTCACTTCCAATCTTAATTTCAGTATTTTAACAGTAATGTTTTAATTTGTTTAAAGATTCTCAAAAAAAAACCCATTCTAAATATACTGTTAATGTTTTGAAATATAAGCTTTCCATCACATATTTTACTTATGATTATGTTTTGCATCCCCAAAGCTACCACAGTCCAGCTCAAGGTTTTATAATTTCTGGAACTAAATTAAAAAGTTAAAGAACCAGCTTGTTGTGACACAGACTTAATTTTCAGTACAGTACTAGCACAACTGGTAATCAATCTATACTAGAAGCAATGGTATTCATTAAATGCGTTTAGATGCTTATAAAGCCATACATTATTATACTTTGCACTCTACCACAGATTTAGACATTAAAGCATTTATTGTAAATTAAGTATGGAATTGGTTCTGTAATTCCAACTGTTATGAATTTCTAAATATAAATAGTACTTTAGTTTTTCTTCATGCTGAATTAAGATATAAATTAAATACAATAAGTTATATTTAATCACCTCACAAATAAGAGGGATAATGAAGTGTTCGCTGGTATTTAACTACTTAAATCCAAGACATTTCACATTAGTTCTCCTACAATTCCCCTAACTTCACATTAGTTTTAAGACTATATATACAAATATGTGTATTTCCAAGTTAGGGAGGAAGTAAATGTAACAAAATGGATTATATTAGTTTTTATACACAAATTTTGACTTTGTATCTAAAGTTGTATTTTAATGTTACATTTTAATAGTTTTCTAGTGGGGAATCAGTCTATTAACTGATTTAATTACACAGTGATAAATACAATATTCAACCTAAAGAGACAAAAATACAAAAGCGCACAGAACAGTAGTCTTTTCAATGTGACAGATTGTAAAACTTTCACATGCTTCATCAGAGGAATTTAAGCCTAAATTAAATTAGGTATTTTTATATCTACAATTCCTTAAGTTTTGAAATATATTTTTAAAGGCCAACAGCTAAATAGTATCAACATGCTATGTTTCAAATCACAAATACATCTTAACCACTTGGATTATAAAGACATGGGCCAACTGAAAGTCACACACACTCTCTCTCTCTCTCTCTCTGTCTCTCTCTCATGAACACACATACATACCTACCATAGAGTTAGACTGTCAAACTTTGACAATGATTATAACTAAACACTTGGCAAATTCAAGCTGATGAACATCTTTATGAAAAGTACGCAGCCTGAAAGAAACCTATTAAAAAAAACCAAACCCAGATTCAACAACAGCAGAGACTTAAAACTTGAGTCTTTCTAATGGAAGGGAAACAGTTCCATCTGTGTCTTCAGAAACAGTATTGTCCAATTAAGAGACTGACATCTTTCCCTATGAGAAAATATCTCATTTACAATGGCATGGTGTTTTAAAAGGCCGGGGTAAAACAGGAATTACACATACATAATTAAATTTCTTGTTTGTTAAATCAAGCTTTATTGATAAAATGGAATTCAGATATCTTACTAGGAACAGCAGCAGGCCCAGCCGATCATGACAGCAAAAATGTGGCAGTCTCCTACTTTATATAGGAAGCTGCTGCTTATCAATTAGTAATTAAATGTAAGGACTTGTAAAAGAGGTGCAAAGAACGAAGGCATTTTAGCCCCAAGATTGCTCTTCATATGAATATACTGTATTACCTGCAATACTTGTGGCAATATGGAGACAACATTCTGAAAACAGTGAAGTGAAGTGAATGGCTTTACCAACCATGCCAATCCTCTGCCAAAGACCATGAAGGCAGTTTTCCATAACTCCTTGAATTTCAGCTTTGTAAAGTTTTGAAATTATTCTCCATCATCATGTGGATGTTTGAGCATATAGCTGACATGGCTGCTGCTCTCCCTGTCCCAACTCCAAGTCCAAACACAACATGACTTGAAAGGACTATTGCATCACACAACAAGCCAAATATTTCTTATATCTTTGATAGTGATTTTAAAGCAGTTCATAATTAAATATGAGCATTTTGTACAAGGACAATTACACTTTACAAAAAAAAAATCATACAACAAAAATTGCTGGAGTCTGATTTACAACATGAATTATGGTTTGAAATCGTGTTTACATAAGTCTCAAAT